AGTCGATTGGTCATGTTCGAATCTTCTTGCCTGCGGATCTGAAATCAGCTGATCAGCGGAACACTGCGAGAAAGTCCATTGATGAGGTGAAGCGAAGGTTCCCGGACGGGATAGCTGTGCTTGACCCTATCGAGAACATGGGCATCACAGATACTTCGTTCAAGAACACGCTTAGGGTGCGTTTTACTCGCATGGAATAGTCGTATTCTGCTAATGGTCGACAGAAAATTGAAGTGCTTGAGTCTCACCTGCTCACTAATCCGCTACACAATTCTCCTCGTCTACCAGATCTCTACAATCAATATGCCGAAAAAGTCGGCATGTCGGACAAGATCAAGGACGTCAAGAAGCAAATCACTGCTGCTCTTTCCATCATGCAGCTTGATGAGCTGAAATGCCGGAAGCGTGTCCTCCGCCGCTTCGGATTCATCAACGAGACCGAAGTTGTCCAGCTCAAAGCTCGCGTCGCCTGCGAGATTAGTACCGGCGATGAGCTTCTACTCAGTGAACTCCTCTTTGATCGCTTCTTCAACGAACTCTCGCCTGAAATGTGTGCAGCGGTATTGAGCTGCTTCATCTTTGAAGAAAAGTCCGAAGCGCCTGCGTTGAAAGAAGAGCTTGCCAAGCCATTCCGTGAAATTCAAGCCAAAGCAAGGACAATAGCAAAAGTATCTGTCGAGAGCAAAATGCGAGTAGTTGAGGATGAATACTTGGCTTCATTCAAGTGGCAGCTCATGGAAGTCGTTTTTGCATGGGCACATGGAAAGTCATTTGCAGAGATATGTAAGATGACCGATGTGTATGAAGGCAGCCTCATTCGTCTTTTCAGAAGACTTGAGGAGCTCTTGAGACAAATGGCCCAAGCTGCCAAGGTGATGGGTAGTGATGACTTGGAGAAGAAATTCGAAGAATCATTGACCAAAGTTAGGAGAGATATAGTTGCAGCACAGTCGCTATATCTCTAGAGTGTTGGAAAATCTCAAGCTAATTGAAGAGTGTCTGTGAGTTTTGATGATGAGACCATGGTGCTGAGTAGGGCACTTGGGTTGATAGACCAGACGTAATTGTAAGCGATTTTAGCAAAGCGGAAAATGCGTTTTGGCAGGTGAATATGAAGACAGCAGCCCCGGACAGACTCTTGGCTTTGGGTACAATACCAACCTGAGGATCATGCGTGAGAATGATGATACGTGACAGATGAGAAATGTGGACAAGTGAGTGTCTTGTGTTCGAACATTGGCTTTGTGACAAGGAATGTGTTACTGTATATATGTCTGGAATAAGTGCCAAGCCAATAAGTGCCAAGCCAAGCCAAGCCAAGCATTTGGTACCCGTACTTTAATGATGGGCATTCGACACTCGGAGCGTTTAATAGTATAAACCCCCACATCTTCCTCCTCCTCCTCTTCCTCCTTCTCAACTCAATCACTTCACCCTTGGAGAATCTTCCGAGTGAAAATTGATAGATTACTATTGCAGCTATGAATCTTCTTGCTACACCGCCACCTCCGCACCACCTTTCGAATCCACGTCTCTCACCCTCCCACTCAAGTCCGCCTTCTCCATGCCTTCCTGTCATGGAATTCCTGCTGACTGATCTGACAGTGTCTTCTTACACTCCCACCGCTTCTGCCAGCCGGAAACGAAAAGCAGAAGACGACGAGCCTCAAGCGGAAGACAGAATGTCCTCCTCCCCTTCCAACTCTCCAGCCCCAGCTACGCGCTCACTACCCGCCTATCGACACGCCAAGAGACCCAGATCAGGTCCTGTGGGCAGACCACTCGCTCTGCCCAGGCTTCTAGAGACCTTAGACGCCGACTCGCTACGAGGTGTTCTACAATCTATTTGCACGAGGCATCCTGGGATAGGTTCCGAAGTTGAACACACAGCACCAAGGCCTAGCGTTCCATCAGCCCTTAACGTCCTCAAGGACTACGAATCCGCTTTACAAGCCTCCTTTCCCTTTGGTGGTGACTCATCGTCAGACTATGCGTACAATCGGGTACGGGAATCCCTTATGGCCCTCCTCGACGCTCTCGCCGACTTCACGCCACACTTCCTGCCACCGAATGAAACCCAGGCATTCCAGTCTCTCACCTTTCTCGATGGAGCAACAAATATCATCCATAGACTACCGGACTGGTCCTCCTTCCAGAACAGCCTACACAAGCAAAACGCCTACGAAGAAATCTCTGGAGCTTGGGCATTAGCCATAAGGGAAGCAGCCAAGAGGGCCGGAGGCATGCAACTACAATATGGAGGATGGGATCAGAAGCTGGCCAAGCATAACCAGCAAGCGAACGGGAAGCTTCAGGATGCTGTGAATGAGCTCAGTGCAAATATCGGGTGGATGGGTGGCCAGCCTCAAGTACAGCAGCACGGCAACCGGGGGGAAGACTTAAATTCTGTGAGGCAAGAGCTCTTGGCTGGAACCTACGGTATAAATTTGCCTGTACGTGTTGGATCGTGGTAATAAGTGGGGGAAGGATTGAATCGATATACCATTTGGGAAAGCTAACCGTTGGTTATGCAAGTTCGAGTTGCGGTCAAAGGGTCCTTGGAACATATTGCATAGCGAGGTATAGGCGCAGTATACAAGACATTGGACTTTTCTTTTCATAGCGGGCGTTGCATCTGATAGCGATATGTTTGGGTTTACCTTATTGCATGTCTAGCACGGTGCACCATCTGCACCAGCGTTCCTTGGTGGTGATATGGCGTGGTAGTGAGTCAAGGAGCCTTCTTGGTGTTGACATTGCCATATCAATGATTTACTGCCTAGGTCGCTTGCTCTGGTGCGTGTTGAATGCTAGGGTGCGCACCCAATCACTGGAGAACGAGGAAAGATTATGATCACTGCCCTGGTAGATTACCCAGGATACGAACAACGGTAGTGGCGACTAATCAGAGAGCTCGATCACAATAGCGGCAAATAGCCAGGAGAGCTTGGACAAGAAACGCTGGCAAGTAGCCAAGCACTTTGAGTACAGCAGCGATAGATTGGTGCCGAGACCTGGATGGCGAAAGTGAAGAAGATATGATTAGCCTCCTTTCCTACATCTCTTACGATGGTGGATTTCAAGCCTTTCCCTGCCAATATGATGGATATACTCCACCGCCTGCCTATCTCCCTTTGCGAGTCAGGATGAGCCTGCTCTAGCTCCGTTCCTGCTGGACTTCTCTAGCCCCTGTGTTTCAGTCTTCGTCTGAAATCTCCACAGTCTCTCCGTTCGCAATGGGACCTTTGACTTTCTTCGCCGACGCTGATGCCATCAGTTCTTCATACTCTTCATCGCGCTCTCGTTTGATGCCTCGCTCTATCTTGACGCCACTTTCCAACTTGACACGACTCTCGTGCTCAATCCGATACCTCGTCTAGGTAAAGTATTCCCTAGCGATAGCCCTTGGGTGTTGTCTCGATCGTGAGGAAATACCTGTTGCCTTCTCACAAGCTCATCTTTCTCCGCCGCATTTAGCTCTTCGAATGGTCTTCCTTTCAGCGCAACGTAGGTGGAAGATCTAGAAGAAGTTGGCGTCCGAGATACGAGGAGCAAACCTTGCAGGGGCCCTGTAAGATGTTAGGACCTGCGCCCTTGAAATGAAACATCAATCTATGAACCCACTCCTGGAGCGGTACTTGAGTTTGAGGACCGCGAGAGGAGAAGTCTCTCCATCCACATATTCTGTCCGCATGGCGTCTCGTCCTGCCGAGGGTCTGAAGCCTCCTAATCTGTGGTATACAGTAAGTATAGGCCCAGAGTCAGCAGGACCTTTGTATCCCAACTTGGCACTGTGCGTGACACTCCTGCCTTTGAGCTCCTCCTCAGACACTTGCAGCTCATCCCGGAGATCTAGTGCCACAGATCGGTTTGCTCCCTCTCTGATCCGAGACTCAACGATACGCATGCGAAAGACTTGGACAGCGATAGTTCCCAGATCGGCGAGAACAGATGTCGCTGGATCCTTTGCTTTTGAGCTGGAGGAATCTTCCACTGTATTGCAAACATCAGCTGGTTAGAGTTTTGTTGCAGATGGCAATCAATTAACGGACGTTTTATTTCATTGAGAGTGAACTCCTTGTACCCAAGGCCTCCTTCGCCGACCCTGAATGTGCCTTTGAACCTGTAGTCGTGTAATCCTTTTTCAGATATTCCGCTCTCGACGTATGTACCGTCCAGATAGAGAAAAACGCCCAGAGCATCAGAAGTGAACGAGAAAATCTTTGGTATAGAAAGTCTGATTGCGAATGCAGCGCTAGAAAAGGACTCGATGTATTCTGACATTGGATCCAGGCGGACTTCCTGACTATCATGATCACGGTATTCATGCAAGCTGTTTCCGTTCACTTCGATCGAAACCGTCAATCCATTGAGTATTGCCATTGTCCTCGTGAGCGTTGTGCTAGATGTAAATAGGGTCGGGAAGAAATTGAGATGAAGTTGGAAAAGTTGGAAAACGAGTGCTGTCATCAAATCAAAGGATGTAGCATGAGATGGTGCGGCTGATCATGTATGGCTTCATGACTCTCATCATTGTTAATGTAATTGGAAGGGATCCAAGCCGAACGGAATGGGTGCGTGATGGATGTATGATTGAAGTTGAGAAATTAGGATTGAGAATTGAAGTTAAGGAGAGTGAACTCTGCTCAAAATCAGGTGAAGCAAGAGAACTCGGCCACTTCAAGATCTGAACTCGACTGCTGGTGCCCTCTGAAATCGAGACTTGCGGCTGATGCTGAGTTACATACATACATCTCAATCATAGAACGAGTATCTAGAGTATTCATGATGGCAAATATGTCAGAGACGTTCCAAGCGCTGAACGGGGTATCTTTCCAGAGATCCCAACGCTCCAGCTCCAACGCTTATCCATGCAAAATAAAGCAAAGTCTGAATTTAAGAAGACTACCATGCACCAATGGAGTCAGCTCGCCCGCTGCTACCCCCATACGATACCCATACTCAGATGTCATGGACCCGCAAGGAACTTTCACAAGGCCTTATCGGCGATGGTACATAGTGTTCTGCAGATTGAGCAGCGAATCAGCCCGCTGAAACACATCCCCCTCAAAAGATCGATTCAAAGAAGCACTCGCAGGCGTCGCAGGCACCGTGGCTTGAGCAGCTGGACCCAGCGCAGCTGACAGGGGGGTAGCAGGCACACTCGGCGTGAACGGGCTGGAGCTCGAAGCTGCATTCAAACCCCCAGACCCAAGCGTGCGATGCTGCTGATGAGCCTGATATCCGTTCGGAGCCGGTGTCTGGGCTCGCGACGGAGGCTGAGTTAGAGGCTCGACCTCAAAAGTAAGGCGATTCCACGGTGAGTTCGTAATCAAAGTAGCTGCTTCGGTTGCAGATTTGTGAACCGGACGAACTTGATGTCTCATATCGCTTGGCACAAGATTGAGCAGCCTCGCTTCTCTAAGAGACGCCAGAAGGCTGCTGTAGGAGTCGACGAAGTCCTTGACAAGCCGCCAGAAGTCCCTGGCGTTGCGTGCCTCGGGGTCGTTGAGCTTGATAGTCGAAAGTCGCTTCTTGAGCTTTTCACTCATGCTCAGGCAAGTTCTGTTGCGGTTCACAAGTGTCAACCACAGCTCACGGATCTTCTCATGGGTGTACTGTCTTTGGGAAGCTTCTGCAGCCTCGTTAAAGGATGGTTGCAGCTGCGGAATGATTTGAAGACCTTGATCAGCGGATTTCCTTAGGATGACAAATATCTGCTCGAATTGGACTCTTTGCTCCTTTTCAATGCGGGCTTGGTCCGGCATCATTGTGACACTTCCGCTACGAGAACGAGTAGCAAGCTTTGAGGAACTGAACGACTCTCCTGAACGAGGTGTGCTGACCACGGAGCTGGAGGTCGAGCCTTGGAACATTCCAGCGCGGCTGTTTGAGCGGCTTCGACCATTGAGATACAGCGGTACAGCAGTCTGAGTACCGAGCGCTGCATGGAGATCAATGTGACTGCTGAACTGCTGAACACTGCCTCCGTTCCTCCAACGTCTCTCGGGCTTTGGTCGATCTCGAGTTGGCGTCACAGAGTCGTCGCGATTTTTTGAGCTTTCTCCTTCACTAGCATTTGCTGTGATTTGAGGGACTTGTCTTACGTTGACCTTCCGAGCCTTCTTTACCAGCCGTTTCCTTCCAGAGGTCAGATTAGAATTGTATACCTCGTTGAGGCTTCCGTAAAAAAGGAGCATCAAAGTTCGAATGTATCTCGGGTCGGCGTCTTGGGCAAGCTGTCCAACAGAGCGAGTTGTCAGCTGTGCAATAGGTTCGTGGGTCAGAATGCAAGCGTGGGTAGCCTGCCGCACAGACTTCCTTGACGCGTCTGTGAGTCCTAAGCCTTGCGCCGCATCGCGCATGCATTTGCTCAATTCTTGATCCAAATGCTCAACGTGGATGGCAGCGTTGTGAAAAACCCTTTCCAAGCTCGATCGTTTCGACTTTCCCTCTTTAATCACAGGAAACAATATACCAAGATGATGGTGTACTAGATTTAGTGAGTACAATATCCCTTTTGCAGCTTCGATAATCCTGGCTCCGGGAAGATTTTGCTGTCTTTGTCGTGGTAAACTTGACAAAGGACGCCCAAGCATGCCGCGCTGATCCTCACTGCCGTGTGAAGAGGTCACATTTGAAGGACTGATATCACCTGCACGAATTCCTTGACGTAAAGCAGACCCGTGGCTTTGCCCACGCAAATGATGGCTGTTTCTGTTGGCGCGCGTCTCATCCAGTACTGTAAGTTCAGTCTGCTTTTTGGGTACGATGCCCATGCGCTTGTTTCGGGTGTTTTGCGTAGCTTGTAGAATGCTTTCGCTGTTGCTCCGGTTTCGCTCGTTGCCCAATGACAAAGGTGCAAGGCCAGGGCGGCGAAGTGCCGCGTTCTGTGATAAGACGTTGTTCTGACTGGAAGGAACTCTGTAATGTGAGCGGGCTGGTAGAGGTGGCTTTACAAAGCCTGGGGACCTCAGTTCAGATGCCGATTCGGACTCGCTTGTGTTGTGTCCGTATTTCCTAGTTTGCAGCGGAAAGCGTAATAAGGCACGCGGCGTCTCTAAAGGTCCATCACTGCCACACTAGCGGTAAGCAAGGATGTGAAGACCTTCCCAATCTTACGAACCTGGAGTCGCCTTCAGAATCTTTCGCGGCAGCCACCGTTCTCAGATATTCTAGCACCTTCTTGGTTGACATTGTATCCTTCTCGATCTCGTTGTCAACAAATGCTGGCGATGGACCCGGGGAAAGATCGCTGCCCTCTACAATACGTTTAAGCCTCGGAGTTAAAGGATTGCCAGTCAATTTCAACATCCTAAGCGTGTTGATACTTCCGAGGCATAAAGGGAGATCTCCAATATTGTTGTGTTGTATTGAAAAAACTCGCAACGCTTTCATCTGTTCAATTTCGTCCGGAACTTCGCTAATCTTGTTTCTGCTGAGATCAAGTATCTCCAACTGTGGCAGGCCGAAAAGCTTTTCTCTGTTAGCTTTTCTCTCAAACCATCCGACGGACTGTCAGCTTACGGCCTTGGGCACCTGTCTGAAACGGTTGTCGCGCAGATTAAGGTATCTCAAGGCGGAGCAACCAATAAACTCGTACGCGATATGGGATAGCTGATTATGGGCCAGCTGTAGCCTACATCAATCGAGACTCAGCATGAAGTTTTTTGTAAAGGTCAGCTCACGTTGGTACGGACCACCAACGCGCTGAATGAAAAGAAGAGATAAAAGAAAGGAAGGGAAAAAAGGCGCGCGAAGGTGTAGTGGCAAGGGAGGAGGGCTCATACCTCTCGACATCTTGTCCGATGATGGCAACGACCTCCTTTGGTATCTGTGATAGATTCCTTTTCCTCAAATCAAGGGTCAATTTGGGCTTCACTGTTTCGCCAGCATTTTCTCCCCCCGTCAAGGATTGCTGGAGGGTACTGTGTGCTTCGTCGACCGCCTTGTCATGAGCTTCTTGGAAAAGCTCAACGCTTTCACGCGTTGTCAAGCCTGATACCTTGTCGGTTCTCTCCCGGAAAGATTCTTGGGAAGGACCCATGGATACCTGGGGGAAATCGTAATCCGAGGGGTACCTTTCCCAACGGTAAGCTCGAGGCTGAGCGTATGCAGGGCGCGCAAGAGGAAGCTCACCCAGTGTAGGAAGATTCAGGCATATTGTGAGAAGCATTGGATGTTGCCCTCAGTACAAGCGGATGGTCATCAAAAATGAAAGTGGGATATCTCTCCTGGTGGCTTCGTTACACGAAATGATGGAGGGTCGAGCCCAAGTCGAGTCGCTCGATGGAGAAGAGAGATGCAAAAGAGGCGAAGAAACGAAGAATAGGAGTGACGGTCTGAGAGTATGCCTCGGGCATTCCAGAGTGCAATGTGAATGAAGGGGATGTTAATGAGAGATGAAGAGCAGATTACGCAGATTACCTTAGCTACTTTAAAGTACTTACCTTAGGTACTTACTAGTATGCCATGCGGAATAGCCGCCGCTAGACAAGGATAGTTCGGCTGCTGATGCCAATCCCTTCATTCTGCATCAATGAATGAAGTCGAGTCCAGAAAACGGTCTCAAAGGAGTGCTTACTCCGTACCTAGATTAATTTTATCTATAGCGGCAAAATCGATAAGCACTTGTAAACGTCGCAGGGATAGACTCGATATGCCTTTGAATTGTAAGTGTGTGGGTATCGAAGCTCTATACGAATGGCAAACAGGCAAACAGGCAAACAGAGAACGAACGCATAATGGAGGATGAGGATGTCGTGGCAATCCGCCCTCGTATCATGCTCTCCCGCTCTATTTTCATCTTGATGATCCCGTTGGCCTTCGGTAGACCGCCCGGCACATGTTCCTGCAGAATCAACATTGGCTTGAAAAGCAACGTTCAATTGTCTGACATCCTAAATCATGGCCGAATCATAGCGCCACCTAATGCGCTCTGACCTTGAGCAGGTATCTGATCTGAGACTTCCTCAATTGCAGCTTTGTACTCGGCAGGATTAGAATCCACCTCCATTTCCTCGCTTTCCACACCACCCGTATACATCGCCGCCTGTTTTTGCTCGGCCAGGGTAACCTCTTTCGTTGCCCATTCCTTCCATCTCTCGTACTCTTTGTCTTCCAGTTCCATCCCAATGTCTAGCGTAGACTTTCCAAAATATGCTCCTGTGGACAGTGCTTCCTCTTTTGCTACCCTTCGCTCCACGTCTTCTTCGAGGCGTAGACTGTAGAACTCTTTCCGTGCCTGGTCGTAGGCTTGGGCGGATGTGATCCCTGGCACATTATGCCGTAGCCATAGTTGTCGCCGGACAACGCTGTCAAATTCAGTACTGGACCAGAGCGACCGGCATGGAGATATCACCTCTCTCCACTCAATGCCTTTTCCGGTTGTTCAATGCGACTCCAATCCGTCTTCTGAGAGTCTTTCCCATCATCTTCAATTACCAGCCGTGGCCTCGCCAACTCCCACGGATGATCTTTGAAGAATTCTTTCCTTAAAGCATCCTCCTCGTAGTGTATCATCTGCGGTTGGAACAGCTTACTCGATTTCTTCGTTCTTGATCTACCTTTGCGATGCCGATGTGGAAGAGGCTGCGTCCGCACGAGAGTCTGAGCAGGCGTTATGGAACCGACGACATTGTACCAAGGAGGAGTTCTGGATATTCGTTCTGTATTGAGAAGCTGCGTCGCGGTTTGGTGCACGCGCAAAGGACGAAAATCGTACCGACCCATCGCCGTGACCTCTAAAGGAAATGGCTCGAGATGAACGAATGGGCTTTGGTTCGGAGTAACATTCATCCATGAGGCGCACTCACCGCAGAAGAGGCGTGCCGGCGCGAAGGCGGCCGTTCCCGCGATAGTAGGGTAGGAGACCTCGATTTTGGTAGCATCGATAGCCAAGCTTCCCCTTGACGACTCTGTCGACGTTGGACTTGATCCTTGGGTACAAAAGGACTATCAAATAACTTGATATCGCGGCCAATGCCAAATTGACGCTATGCTTTACACTTCATGCCCACCCTCAACGCTTCGGTGGAGAGGAACTCCTCGAGCCGAGTCAAACCTGTCAAGAGACCTTTGGGAATTCAGCTTCTCACTTTTGTCTTCACCTTCCTACAACCTGCTACCTTTATGTTGCTGAGTACCCTGAAAGAGCAACCGATCAAGACCGCTACCAGGAAGCATCGACCTACGCCTTCAACTCCTCCCCCTCCTCCACGCCAGCTCGACAATATATTCATTGACGCCTTAGCCAAGGCATGTTTATGCCGGCAGCATACCATGGCCCAAGCGATCGTCTCAAACCCTGGTTACCTATATCACAAGGTCCGACGGAGAAATGCCTATGACGCAGCGAGGCAGTTACGACATCTCCATCGCGCTGCTATATCCCCATGTCCTCCTGCTAAACCACGACCTCTCTCTCGAGAAGAATACCTCAGCATGCTGGATTACTATAGCGAATCTTACAGCACCCGGGCCGGTGTTTTGGCCGAGCTGCCACCAGCAACTCCGATGTCATTTACGTTCAAGAGTGAAAATACCATGATCCCGCCTCCAGAAGTACATACAGACATTGAAGAGCCGCCGCCACCAGCACGTGAACAAGCAACAGACAAGACTTTGCCATCTTTGGTTCACCTGCTGAAGGTACTGGACAGGGGCGATTGTACACACGAAGAAGCCTTCGAAGCCTACTCTGCTTTACCATTCCCTGGAGTTTCCTACCTCTCAGATCATACGCGTCGTTTGCTTTTTCATCGACTCTCCGTCTTGGAAAAGAAGAATAAAACTTCAAAAGTACGCTTTCTTTCTGTAGTAGAAGACATGAAGTCCACAAATCTACCCATGACCCGCGGCGAGTGGACTAGCGCAATAGCCTTTTGCGGGCAATGTTTCACGCGTATCACAGCTGTAGATGTTGAAAACGCGCTGAGACTGTGGAAGGAAATGGAGCAAGAAGCAAATGTCAAAGGTGGAAGCGTAACCTTCAACATTCTTTTCGATATGGCCGCCAAAGCAGAAAAGTTTGTGCTCGCCGAAATGATTTTGAAAGAAATGGGGGTCAGGAAACTAGAGTATAACCGCTATTCTCGCAATGCCTTCATTTTCTACCACGGCCTCAGGGGAGATGGCGATGCCGTCCGAAGGGCCTATCGTGAATACGTCGAAGCGGGTGAAATTGTGGACACAGTAGTCATGAATTGCGTGATCACATCTTTGATCCGAGCTGGCGAGCCCGCAGCTGCAGAGCAGGTCTTTGAACGCATGAAGCGAATGCACACAAAACACTCCAGTCAGCATATACCCCCCAGCAATTGGAGAGACATTCGCGACCTAGGCCGTCTGCTCAACCGAGCAACGCAGCGCTTCAAAGAAGAACCCTGGAAGATACGGCAATTGCAAAAAGAACAATCCATCGCCCCAGATGTACAAACCTACGCCCATTTCGTTGAATATCATGTCAGCCAGACTGGCGAACTCCGGCGCATAGCCGTTCTTCTGGCTGAAATGCAACATCAGGGATTACCCATGCATGGGCGTATATTCACCAAGCTCTTTAAAGGCTTCACGTACCATGGTGGTGTACGATACACCTCTTGGACCCGAGCTCGCCTGGAGATCGTATGGGAATCGATGCTGGCAGCACTTGATCAAGGGTTAGATGATGTACGCATGATGAAGTGGATGGTTATCTGGGCCGTCAAAGCCTTTAAGCGCTGTGCTGGACGGCAAAGGACGTTGGAGATCTGGAGCGAATTAAGTCAGAGAGGGAAGCCCAGCGATGGGGATATGGAGTTTGTGATGGGAATGCTCGGCGAGATACTCCCAATGGATGGCGGTTATTATAGATGAACGCTCAACATAGGGTATCAATTAAAGATGAAGAAAATGTACAGAAAGACGCAACGCCAAACTTCCACAATGCTCTAGGTGCGCTTGGCTTGGACAAATGTGCTTAACATGTAGAGTATGTGGTAAGGCCATGTTTCATGCATAGCATCTTTTATGAATCAAAGCTCAGACGAGTCTTAGCAAAGACACCACTGGCATTCACTGATATTAGGAGCACACGAGGCGAGAGATTCAAAAGGCAGAGGTGAGTGGACCAAATTTTTGGCTGTTCTCGAACGTAATTATCTTTTGGTACAGATGTTGTTCACCTATTTACTTTATGCTAGAAGCTTGGACGATCTTCATGTGCTCTTTGGAACTTTGCGCCTCCACACACAGCCGTGTCTCACACCAAAGAAGAGCACTACCAAATCACTCCGAGCCTTTGCCGCGCGAGAGGGTTTCGAGTATGGTCGTGTCATCGTATGGGCAACGGAAGAAGGAAAACCAAGAACTCTAATCTGCGAAGATTGTGATCAAGACGGCGAACTGATTTTGCGGCTTGTGGTTCAAAAATTCCTTGGTACACTCAAAAACCCTGGCGAGGGACCAGAAGAGCGAACAGTGTCTGGGCTGCGGATAGTGTGCCTGGATAGCTCCGATCCGGCACCAGAACTTGCCACGAAGGCCATTCTCCTTCGGCTCTTTAGCTCTGTGAGCTCAGAAGGTCTCAGCTCGTTAGTCTTGCAATTTTTCAGTCGGATTTCCAGTGCGTGGTCAATCCTCCGTCAAGATCCTCTTTCCCAAGGTACAATTCCAGGGCATACATTCCCATAGTCGCTGCGACATTGACCCATCTCCAAAAGCTGCCTCCAGCATCACCTCCTTGGCTGGTCCACCAGTCACCGTCGCCGCCATCTCCGCTTGTCGATGCAAAGTGTTGCATTAGCAGGCTAGTATAGACAGCAATTAGGATGCTGGGACTAAACCAGCTGAGCAATCCGAGGATCTGGCCTGCGCCATCTGAGTCCTCAAGGGACGCTTCTTGGGACAGTGCGCGCGCTCCAGATTCACGGACAGCCGGTATGATACGAGTGGAGGCGTAGAGAACGAAAAGGCGATAAGCAAGTGAGATGATCACGGACGGAGTGATGGTACTCAGGGCTGCAATGATGAAATTGAAGGCTGCAGGTATTGCAGAAGGCAAAACTG